GCTTTAATCAACAGCTTTGGAATTAGGGCTGAGAATTTTGGGAGCATCCCATTATTCCAGATCTGCTTACTGCAGGGATTGTCACTCCCTCCAGAGCATTTTGCAGGGGCCAGTGCCAGCGATGACCTAATGACAGAGCAACTGAAACAGCAGCCTCAACCAGCAACAAAATATTTAGGAGTAAAAGGCTCATAAACACCATAAAAGATCCTGGTCAGCATTGAGAGTAATGAATTTAATAGCTGGAATAACCAAAAACCTTCCCTTATTAATGAGCTGTTTTCCCAAAGGCTCACAGTAATTAATTGACAGCTTAGGAGTATTTTATGGGACAAGACATAATAACACCCAAAAGCATCACCCAGTTCACAGTATGTGAGAAGGCACCAAATCAGACTGGAAAGGAGCAGGCAAATGCATTTTCTTCCCCAGCTGGAATACCTTCCAGGGGATCAGACACTGGCAATGTCCTATAAATACCTCCCAGAACTAGATTCCAGGACAAATCTATGACTCACCAGACATTAGGAGCACTATGACCCTGACCTTTGGTCTGGAACAGTACTGCCCAATAAAATAACTCTTAAAAGGCCATTTGCAAACAACCAACACACAAAAACACTGTGATTAATCTAAAATTGAACTACTGATTTTTTTTTTTTTCCCCTCAAGGAATTTTTTTTTGGTGTGTTTCGTAAATGACAGATTAAAAAAAAAAACACTTAAAAGCCCTGTAAGTTCAGGCAGGGACACCTTGTAACATTCCTATGATAAAAGCAGTTCAAGCACTATTTTAATGCTATTCACCACCTATTAAATCCAAGCAGCAGAAGAGAGCCAAGGACAAAAGAGCTTCCTTGTGAAATTAATAATTTTCCTGTTTTCAAGTGTCCAGTGCTTCGGGGATCAAAGAGAACCTTTTCCCTCTTTCCTCACCCTGACATCACACAAGGAACTCCTCCCCCTTGAACTGACAAAGGAAACAACCTGCACGTCAATGATTAATCCAGAATACAAAATCTGATTTTCATACCCAGAGATACACAAGACAGAAACACTTTGAACCACTCCAGCGTTCCAGAAGAAGCAGGGGGACTTTTGTGAGAGATCCCCTCAGGAAAGAGGAGGAGTCTCTCGGTGGAACACAAGGAAGTTTCTGTGCTGGGTAAATCCAGGTCAGGTATCTTTAGGAACTCGCAGCAGATTTAACTTTGTCCTAGTGGCTCTGGGGGCCGGTGTTTAGCTGTCTTCTCACCTGCTTAATTAGGCAGAGGCAGAAACCAAAAACTGGAAGGGTGCAGGGAGATGAGATACTTCACATTCTGAAACAGAGACGCTCCACACCAGAGAGCAACAGCGCGAAATTATCAAGTTTCAGCCTCCCTCTTAGAGCATTCCTCTTTGTCTCCAAAACAACCTATAATTACCTTCTCGCTGTATCTGGTTTTATTGTCAAAATACCAGCAAAACAAATCGGGGAGAGGGGTTGTGTTATTCCCAACACTGCAAGTTCTGGTGGCCAAGGGGCTTTCTTTACAAAAACACATAAACAACCGATGTTTCTGTTTTTCAAACAACACCAAGTAAAATTTGCATATTATCCTAGAGAAAGATAAGTCCCAACTTAATTCTCTCACGCTGAACCCTTCCCCCCAATTTTACAG